CTCACATTTCTATATATTTAAACACGATCAATCTCCAGTTGGGCACAAAGAAAATCCAGTTTGTATTAAAACTAATAAGTGTCTTTGATTGCTTTATTTTTCATTCCACCCAAAGGAGTTATTTTTATTTTGCAGTTAATTACCCTCTTTCTCTCTTTCATCTGCCCAACCGATAAAAATGGACAAGTATAAAACTAAATTAATCAAATATTTTTAATTAATAATTTTCATACAAATAAATTCGAGACAACTGAATTGCTATAATTTATTTTCTTTTTCTGTAAATTTTATACTCGTAATCAAACGCACTCTTAGAGATAAACATGTTTGGTTAATCTTAAAATTTACCTGGAAATTATCGTGAAGTGGGCTTGGTTTCCACTTTTAGATCAACAATGGGTTTTGTATTAAAGGAGAAAGTACAACTTGGGCCCAAGCGTGTAGGATTTAAATAGGGAAAAGAGAAAATTACCTAAAACAAGGTATTTAAGTTTTCAAATTCAAAAATCAGGTGTAGTGTTTATTTTATCCAAATTCAGGTGTTAATTAAAATTTTTAATATTAATAATAATATTATAAATTTAATTTAATTTACATACTCACCCTCACAAACCCAAATCAATTTCATATCATTTCCAGTTTCCTTCGTCCTCTGCTCTCTCTCTACCCACCTTCGCCGGCGACTCTCTCTACCCACCCTCACCGACGACGCCCTTCCTCTCTGTCGGCAGCCCAACCTCGCACCACCGCCGTGATTTCGCTCCTCCACAGACGTCGCTATATATGGCGAGCTTGCTCCGCCACATGCAATGGCACGGCAAGGCACCGTTGCTGCTGCCAACAGTGGCGCCTGGCTTTTCGCCGTCGCTACTACGGTGGGGCTTGCAAAAATACAAGCGAACCAGGTGGTGGTGCTTGCAACAGCGGTAATCAACTCTCAAAGACCGTCGTGCAATTTGGTGGTGATTTCAGGCAACGCTGTTCAATCGGTGCCTCGATTTTAGAATTTGAATCTCCCACATTCTCTTCGTCTTCCCACCCTCACCGGCGGCGCGCGTTCGACACCATTTCCTTAATTCTTTCCCTATATTCTTCTTTCTTCTCCGGTCTGCAGCGTCGCGGCGGAAAGCAACTCGCCTACAGCACCGCGCCTACAGCAGACGGTTTAGGTTGGCTAACCAGGGAATTAAGATTTGCATGTTAATTGCTTGGTGGTGCGTAGTGGTGGTGGCAGTGTTTGGGATTTTTTGTTGGGTGGTGGTTGTGGTATGGTGTGATGGAGATTGAGGTTCTCTGTTTTATGTTCTATCTTCTTTGTGATTGTTGTTGGTTGGTTTTTTTGTTGGGTGGTTGTGGTTGTGGTCTCTGTTATATGTGGATTTGATGTGGTGGCAGCAATGATTCCGGTGTTGGTGAGGTTGTGGTGACTCACAATTTGTTCGGCGGTGTGTGGTGGTGGTGGATCTGGTGTGACGTAGTGGTGGTGGTGTTTTTCTGTGTGATTTGTTTGCAATGGTAGTGGTTTTGATGGTGATGGTGATGGTGGTGCTACAGGTATTAACCACAATCAACCACAACCCACCTGATTTTGGCCTCAACGAAAATTTATTTGAATTTGGTGGCACGGGATGAGATTTCGACCAAATATGTGACCGTTTGTGATCGGTTAATTATGACTCGTTGTGACCGTTTGTGATCGATTGTGACCGGTTAATTGTGACTCTTTGTGACCAATTGTAACCGATTATGACTGTTTGTGGCCGATTGTGTTGGGGGTTGTGATTTTCAATTTTTTGAAAATTTTGAAATCGTCGGAACGGTCGCCGGAGTGATCGCCAGAGAAGTCGTCGGAGCAGTGCCCGGACCGTCGTCGGAGCAGTGCCCGGACCGGTGCCGGAGATGGAGGGAGGTGGTGTAGTGAGGAGATGGGGTGGGTGAGGTGTTTGGGGTGGTGGAAATAATTAATATTTAATATATTATAATTTAATATTTAATAAATTTATTTAGCACCTGATTTTTGAAATATTTTAAGAAGTTTGTTATTTATGAAATGTGAACTTTAAAAATAGGAACTATGTGTTGTTCCCTAGGGAAAATTACAAAAAATCAGTCATTTAATTTTTTAAATTCAAAATTCAGGTGTTAATTTTATTTAATCAGGTATTGATTAAGAATTAAATCAAGTATTAAATATTATATATCCAACCTCCCCAAATTTCCTAAGCCCCTGTTTGGATCACATTATTTTTTCATTCTCATTCTTCTACTCATTTTCAACCACACATTTTTCAATAAATAATATTTTTCATCATATCAATAACTTTTCTTTCTTTTTCAACCACATATTCTCCATCACATCACTTCAAAAAAATGCATTCTCTCATTTTAATGTGTACCAAACGGGCTCTAAATCTAATTCAAACCCTAATTAATTCATTTCTCTCCACTACACATGCACCACCGTCCGCCGCCTCCCTCCCTTCTCCTTCCTCCTCCCTCCCTTCTCCTCTCTGCTGGAGCCTCGACGCTGTTGCGTTCATAGCGGCGTCGTGACGCCGACTGTAGGTGTTTGGGGCCGCTCGACACCTGTAAACAACATACCCTAGCATTATTCTTCTTTTTCGTCTTTTTTTTAAATTTGTTTGAGCTTGGTGTTGTGTGCAGTGTTGGTGGTGGTGGTTGGGTGTGGTTGTGGTGTTTTTGTGTTGTTAGGGGGTTTTAGGTGATTTTTATTGGTTGTGCAGGTAGTTATGTTGGTGGCTATGGCAGATCTGTCGGTGGTTGTGGTCCTGGTGGTCATGATGGTTCTGCCAATGGTTGTGTCGATGGTGGAGACGGTTATGTTGGTGAGGTTGTGGGTTGGATATTTTTGCAGATGGTGGCGGTCGTGAAGGTGGTGGTCTTGCAGGAGATGGTGGCGCCATGCGACGATGTGTTTTGTTGGATCTTCGGGGGATCTGAGGTGTTTTTTGTGGTGGCGTCTGTGGTGGTGGATCGGCGATTGGGGTGGTGGCCGTGCTTTGTTTGGTGGCTGTGGGTGGTGGCAGTGTTTTGTGTAGTGGTGGTGGCTGAAATAGTATCAGTGGTATGTGACTAAGTATTTGGTTATCTGTGACCAAGTATTTAACTGTGACCTAAAAATTTGACAATATGTGATTGAAAAATAATTTGTGACCAACAAATTTGAAAATATGTGATCAATGAAATTAACCATTTTTTATTTGTTTTTTTATCTTTGACCATAAAAAAAATCCGTGACCAATTATTTGGAAATACGTGACTGTGACCTATAAATTTTGATCTGTGACCATCTAATTTTGAAATATGTGACCAACGAATTAATTGTGACCTATAAAATTTTTGAACTGTGACCGTAAATTGTAAATCTGTTACCAGAATGGTCACCGGAATAGTCGCTAAAATAATTGTCGGAATCGGAACAGTAGTCGGAACGATCGTCGGAGAAGAGTGATGGTTGGAATGGTCATCGAAATAGTCCCCATAGCGGTATGAGTGGTGCATGTGGGATTGGTTAATTATATTATATTAGAATTAAATATTTAATGATAAATTGATTTAATAATTTATTATTTCATGAAAAAAAAATCGAGTTTGGAATTTTCAAACTATAAACCTAATTTTGAATTGATGTAAAGTATACATCTTACTTATGAATTTTTCTTAGGACAAGACTGGAATTGGGCCAAATGAAAATTCTCAAATAAGGGTCCATTTGAAAGTTCCACTACAAATTGCAATTCAAAAACCGGGTCGATTCCTTTGTTGACTTGGGAGAAATTTAAATTAAAAATGATATTATCAACTATTTAAATTTTGAAATAGTTAAGAAATGAAACTAGCGGTCGAGGAGTTATTACTCTATGAAAATTGTACTATAGTAAGTCAATAGCTTGACTCATAAAAATTAAATTAAGATTTAACGATCGTTGAAGTGTACAATAATGCAATTGAAGAAATAATTCATGAAGATGCCAATAACGTAAGATTCAAGAACTGCGCCTAGATGCTATTCCAATAGGACGGGGGTTATTTTCACTTTAGGGAGGACTTGTAGGTCTATTTATCCGATACAAGAATATACGAGAAAAGCATGAAATTATATACATGAAGATATCCAATGTACTCGGAGATGGACTATCAACAAATATTGACATGTTCTAATTACCAAAGCGGCCATAAAACCTATATTTCACACAATGCAAGAAATTTGATCTCTTAGAATTCCGCCCTTAGTTTTCATGACAATTCAGTGCTTGTTTGGTTTAAATAATAATCAAAAGATGCTATTTGTGATCAAGATGATGGAACATCACCCTACGTTGCAACATACTGATACTGAATGATATTTTCAATTAAATGCATGGAAATTGAATTCATGTTATTGTACCTAACATCCAAGAGGGTGCTACATGTGTATATTGGAATAAGATCAATAAAGTGAGTTTCACATCTATACAATAATTGCTTTTTCACCTCACATTACTTGTCACATTACATAAGGACAAACTTCATTTTGTGAGTTTTGCTATACAAACATAATACTTGACATAGAGGATGATACAACACACACACACACGAGGGAGGTCGGCATTATTTAATTTAGGTCGGGACCCACACGCAATGTGAGAGGTCGGTCAACCACTACGTCAAGCATTATGTTCATTTAACTTAATTCTCCTTTTGTACATATATTCATTTATTGAATGCTATTTAACATGATGATCCATCATCATGACGACAAATAACATTACACTTTATAATCTCTTTAATTGTTAAAGTCAAATTTTAATTTTAATCATTCATTTAGTGAGATTCCTAACTACTGCATAATTATCATCACTCTACTTGACGGGTTTTTTTAAAAATTATTATTTAAATTTAATGGTAAAATTGTCCTTTAACGTGACAGTAACAGTAAAACGGACGAACATTGTCAATATGGACGACATGGGTGAATAAATGAAAAGGTTGGGATGAGAATGATGGTAAAAAAGAGCGGAGATGAAATTGCCTCAAATCAGAAAGATTGGGGACTGGGAGTGAAATTTACCCAAAAACTTATGGGGCAGGAAAACCCTCTATGGGGTATCTTTTTCCCTCCAAAAAAGCCATTCCATGCATCGAACCACGTGTTATCACATTATGCCGCCACGTCAGCTAGTTGGTGGGTCCATGTGATAACGCGGCCGGAAACCCAAAAACTCAAACCGTGCCGATTGCGATATGTAGTGGCATTCCCGTAATTCCATTCTTTTTCAGGGGTGAATCAGTAATATAAACCAAACAGGCTTTTCGGTTTGTAACAAACAGCTGTTTTAAGGAAGAAAAACAGAAATACACTCTTCGGTTCGAAAACCTTAAACAAACTCATCCGGTTTCTGGAGGAAACTAATAAAATGGAGGCCGTCGAGGTAAATTTTCACAACCTCATTTGATGGATTCCGCCGCATATAACCACCGTCTATGGGTCGGTGCAGCTGCTTTAATATTTTAACCAACACCCACCAACTACTTAACTGATTCCCTTAATCAAAATTTCACCTTTTTTATAAATACTTTCTGAAGGTTCAATTTTGATGGAAAAATGGGGTTTGATTTTGATATTCTTTGAACTTAATTTACATCATTTACTTCGATTTCTGTGTGTTTTCGTGAATGTATTATTTCGTTTGCGCGTCAGAGGTCGTGTTGAGATTTCTTAACTTCTTCTGGTTTTGGAGGAAATCAATAAATGGAGGCAGTCAAGATAAAATTTGCCACTCCATTTGGTGAATTCTGACACCCATAACCATCGTCTCTACGGCGGAGCGACCAGTTTATTTTTCGAACAACCCCCCAACTACCTAACTGATTTCTTAGTAGGCTTTTTGTTTACATTTTTCTTTTTTGCTTCTAAAGTTCGATCCTGATATAAAAAAGGGGTGGGCTTTTTTATCTTGTTTTGATCTTTATTTTGAACTTTCACTTCGATTCTCTGTGTTTTTCTTGATATGTATGTTTTTATTTGTCTTTGATTTTGTTGAAATTCCCTCACTTCTTTCTCTTGTTAGAAAGTTTGAATTTTGATTTTCTCTTGAGTCTTCTTTACATCTTTAACTCTTGATTCTTCCTGTTATCTTGATTATTTTTGTATGTGGCCATCTATGGTGTTTTGAAATTCCTCAAAAAATTGAGGTTTTCCGATGACGGCCTATTTAGTTCTTATCTTTGGTAGTGGCCTGTTTTTAATTGTTCATTTACTGCTTTTAATATTCAAGTCTTAAAAATGGGGCTGGACTTCGATATTTTTTTTACATTGCTTAAATCTTAACAGTCTCGGTTGTTTCTTGTTGATGCATATAAATGCGCATGAGTTTCCGAATGCAACATTTTTATTGTTTTTTTTTCTGTTGGAGTGCAGAGATTGACGGCATTGAAGAAGGCATATGCAGATATAATGTTGAACACGACAAAGGAAGCAGCAGCCAGGATTATGGCATCGGAGAGTAAGGCAGCTCGGTATCAGCATGAGCTGAGGGTTGCAAAAGAGGAGGGGCTCCGAATGCTAATGCGCCTCAAACAAATGATGGATTTAAAGGTGAATGAATGAATTTGAAATCAAAATTTCTGTCTCTTTTCCTTGTTTTATTTTTCTGGAATGAGTTGTTTCTATTAGGAACACAAGAAAGAGAGTATAAGAGAAATGTGATTGTACCTTTTTTTTGCATTCTTCTATTGCTTTTACTTGCTTTTGGTTTCTTGGTGTGGGTTCTGTTTTTTGTCTTACTTTCTTTAGCATTCATTTGTTTGGTTTAAGATGAAAAGAATTCTAATGTTTGCTCAGAATTTTGTTCTTTGTGAATTAGTCAATGCTGGAGCTATTAATAATCATAAATTGGGATAAGTATGTATCTTTTGTTTCTGTTGGTTCTCTTGACAGTCTGATAGAATGGCCCATTGACAACGAGATAGGAATGTCAAAAGTTTGTTATCTGTTTACTTTCTTTGTAGTCTTGACTGATAATTCTTTAGTGGTGGCAACTCAAATGTCCAATTATGGTATTTCTTCTTTAGTGTAACAAGATTTGAAATGATGTTATGTACTTGGCGGGAAATATTTATAGTTTGTTTGGCTCCAAAAGTACTTCCATTACACATTTCTTTCTCTCGATTTCATTAAACTTCCAAATGGCATGACAATGCTACAAATTTACATGTTCAACATGTCTTTTTGGTATATTGATATGACCGTTATTCATCCAGCGCCACCTTTTGGGGAACTATTTGGTGGAAATAACGGTTAACTAATGTCTAATCATATTAAACTGCCAAATGCCATGACACAATTTCCATGGACCACGTGTTTTTTTGGTATGTTATTTTGACTGTTATTTATCAAGTGCCTCCTTTTGTGGGACTGTTTGGTGGAAGTAAATGTTATCAAATCATTGCATTTATCCTTATCCATAATGCTCTAGGTGATCATAATTGCTTATCATCTATTTAATATTATAAAATAATAAGCTTATATTACGAAACTGTTTAACTAGATGTAATATAGAAATGGAACTGCTATTAGTAGTACCACAATAAGGTCAATCTCGGCTTCTTTCCCTTTAATTTAGCAGTAACAGATGTTTTCTTAAGGAAGTAATTTTAAGACATAACTATACTCTTTATCTGGTGCAAAAACCAGACATTATGGACTTATGGTTTGATAATATGTTATGTATGACATTTTTATATTAGTTTCTGTAGATATTTTTAATGTCATTTATCGTGGTAAGTCACACCATGAACTTGTCATCATTTACATTTTTCTCGTTGCATAAAGGTGTGAATAATTCATTCAAATAAATTCAGGATCTTGAATTTGAGAACTTCCATAAACCAAATGCCATTGCAGAATGTCAGTTATTAAAGAAGTAATTATATCTCTTGCACCACACATATAATTATGGCCCCCATTAATATGGATTGTGAAATTCTTGAGATGAAGCAACAATATCTTGAACTTCCAATTATGAAGCTGGAGCATGTTTGGTTAGGTTGAAAAGGTTTACTTACAAATAAATAAATAACTTTTAAAACAATTAATTTTTTTATTGGTCAAAATCCAAAATAAGTAAATACTTTTATTTTGATAGCAAAGTAGTAGTTACTCCTAATAAGCAACTTTTTTAACTTAAAAGTAAGAAGAAAGTAACATATCCGAAAATGTTTAGTAATTGAGCTTGCAAACTATGTGGTAGACGTTTGCAAAATTCGTCCATTCTTCTTGATCCTAATTGCTCTTTTAAGTAGGTTCATTTTTTATTTTTATTTTTATTATTTTGTTTTGGGTTTTCATAGTATTGCAAATCCCAAATGTGGGCTTCAATTTTAATCCTGTACTTTTCCCTTCTATGGATGAAGCTCGTGATTAGCTTATGTACCTATTCTTCATGTTCCTCATAAATCACTAAATTTTGTGAAAACTAAGCAGATTTTCTTTCCTTTTATTTAGTTTGTCACCCCTTGTATGGAGGCATATTTATTGCAAAGTTTGAACTTTGTTCAGTCTCTCTATACACCACGCACAAGTTGATCTATCTTTTAATATTTCTTTCAATTAATGTGTTGAAATACGACCAAACTATAGGTAAGGGGAGCAGAAGCAGCATCGTTGAATCAGCAGAAGAAGATTGAAGAAGTTGAAGCTCAGCTCCAGGAAGCAGAGGATATTGTCAAAGATCTCAGAGAAGAGTTGAGAGAAGTGCAGGCTGAACTGGAGCGGGTGAAAAACAAAAACATGCTGCTAGTAGATGAACCTGATTATACTTGTCTGAGAGAACTGCAAGACAAAAGTAGAATTTATTCTTCTCAATCTGTTAAATTCGCTGAACCAAATTTACAGAATGAGTCCTCTCTAGCTTCTGATGTTAGAATTCCACATCCTTACCAGAGAGACAGGGTGGTTCAGAAGTGCTACAACAAGACAGTTTGTTTAAACAATTTGTGTAATGGGAGTCCAGATTCGCCATCTATAACATTGAGAAATAAAGAGCCTGGATTGTTCCGAAAGGTTTGCGCACATAGAATTCGTGCATGTGAAAGGAATCTGTTGGATAGGGAATCTTATCGTTCTGGGAAACATGATAAAGTGAAAAATACGAGTGTCAGAGAGCATGAGGAGGGTAAAGATACCTTTAAAGAACCAGCTCATGGGACTAAAACTTTAAGTTATCTTGAGACGAATCTATTAGCGGGTGTCAAGCTTAGCAGCTCTAAATCTTTTGTTTCGAAAAGGAAAAGAGCTATTAGGGGAAGGAAATCTATAACACCCCCACGGTGGGAACAATCTGATAAACCTATTCAGGTATTTGATGCTAATTCTGGTGAGAATCCTTCCAAGATAGCTCCAAGATGGTTCCCTCATAAACCTCAACCAGGAATTGAACCAGGGTGCGTAGAATCTTCTGAAAAGGAAGCAGTTCTTGTGGAACGCTGTGATGCTCAAGAGGGAATGTGCCAGGATCAAGCATTGATTGAGAATTTGCTGCTTTTGAGACAGAAAACTGAACCTGCACAGAATTCAGGGACCCCTTATTGTAAACTGGATGCTGAAAATTTACTAGTGAATGATTTAGAGTCGAAATCATCTGATATTACTAGTGGGTTTCCTGATCAAGCTAGAAGGGAAAGAGTTATTAAATACACATTTCAGAGGAAGCGGAAGAGACAGACTTTAAGTGAATCTGATGGGAATGTGTCTCTTGAAACTGATACTTTGGAAAGACAACCTGGGAATAAGCAAAATGGTGATGATGGCCTAAATCTGCAGAAGCCAAGCTTGGAAACAGCATCATTTGAAGATGATCTGCCATTAGCACAAGTTGCTCGTCAGGTTGGAAGTTCTTGTCCTTGTATGTGTTGGTTTGTGCATGCATTTGCTATATAATCACTATTGCTTGGATAAAATTGTTTCATGTTGGCATGCGTGAATTCCTTATTCCATTCTAATTTTGGTTCTTGGTCATTGAGGCTACTGGCCTAGCCAGTCTGTTCTGTATCTGTTAAACTCGAAACTTACTTTGTTGTTACCAGCACCGACAAGCTGTCGGAGCTAGAACATCAGCATCCAACATGTGAGAACACACTACAACAACACATGTGAACACACAAAACTGACACGCCTGCACACACTCAGACAGGTGTGTTGCCGACACGGCACCGACAAGGAAAATACAAATAATAGAAACGACAAAGATAAAAAAGGAGAAACTAACTTGAAATGAAATAGCAATTCCTAAAGCACTCCGATGGCACAATCATGATGGGTCCTGGTCCATAACTATGGGAGAGAAGGGGGTGGGTTGGAAGAGGAGACAGCTCTGGCTGCCGGCAAGAATGAAAACTAAAAACCTAAAGCTGAAATGTGTGAAGAGTGTCCGCTGGCTAGGAAGGAAGGAAAATTCATAAAAAAGGACTCAGAAATGCATGGTTGGGAGGGGAAATACGTGGGTGGGGACTAGCCGACTAGGAAATGAAATGTCAAGGGAAATGTGTGGGTGGGCTATTTTTTAATATTTTTTTTTGAAGATCTTTTTCTTGTATAATTTGTAGCTTGTGATGATAATTTTTCTTTCATTTTTTATTTTGCTCATTCTTATTTTTATTCAACCCAAAAATGAGTGTAACTAGTTTAAATAAAAAACTTAATATCTAACAAAGAATAAATTAATTTATATTAAAATAATCAAAGTTCCCTCGACGTGTCTGTGTCCTACTTGTAGAATCACACATCGGCGTGTCCAGTCGTGCCTATGTCGCATTTCTGTGCATGTCCATGCTTCTTAGCATAGTTGTCGGTTGCCATTTCCACTCCAAATATGGTTAATGACTGTGTTTCAGTTCATGTTGGCATACCATATCAGAATGCAACACTACCTAGGAATGGGAATATGAAAAAGAGCCTAATATCAATTTTGGCTTTGAAATTGCAATTTAGTACTATATTGTTTCAAACTGTATAAGCTGGTTTCAGAATAAACAAAACGACCTATTGCCATATTAGTTGCTATTGGATCTTGCAAATATTTTTAAACTTAGATTTACTAGAATATAGACGCTGAAAGCAATTAAAGCCAGCCCATAATGAAAATAGGAAAATCTAAGTGTTAAAAGTCAGGCTCCTAAATCCTAGCATTTCTAGGAATCCAAAAATGGACAATTTAATGTCCAGTAAAAGCCAAATGCAACAGAACCTTATCCTCTATTGTAATGACGAAAATCCTAATTTGGTAAGAAATATATCAGCTAAATATTTTTTGAGTAGAAAATTTTACAAAAAATTGCAATTGGCCTCACCCCACATCTCTTGAGCAGAATTTTTTTTTCTTGTTTCCTTTAGGAGGAAGCGTGGAAAATAAAGGTTTGAGTACTCTTTCCACCATATTTTCCATCCCTTTTGGAATAAAATGCTAATGTCCCTCTTCGTTTGGTGTGTGATGAATGGGAAATAGGATAAAAAGTTCTTTTCAGACACTTTCAGAATGAAGTTCATTACGAATATTCAACATTTACACAATATGAGTGAAATATATTTTGTTCATTACTTTCCTTGTCTTCCTCAACTCAACCAAAATTTCTACATCAAGATTATTTGATCTCTATGTCCCATCCAATTTTTCTCGTTGACCAAAATCGCTCAAGTAAGAATGCAAAATTGCAAAAGAACGTACTATAGTTCTCACGAGTTGAATTTCACTCTATCATTTAAGAAAATAAGGATGAAAGGACTTAAGTTAGTCATGCTGATGGAGGTCATAAGTGCAAGCGGAACTAGGCCTTTTAGGGAAATCTCCTCGTGCTTTTAGGAATGTAGATATTCACATCTTGATTCTAATTACAAAATTGAAATGCTAGAGGCAACTTATTTGATTGAGAAACTACAGTAAAAACTGTGAATATGAATTCAGATTTCTTTCATGTCACATGCATCAAAACTCTTGTGGAGAGAACATTTAGAAGATAGTGAAAATTCTAGAAAGTGGTCTACATACTCAAAACAAAATGATAGATCACTCTTACGGAGAATCAATAAATTATCACGATTCATGATGTTATGGACTCGGGAAAATGAGTACAGTAACTAACATTTGCTGAGCTAATTAATACATTGTTGATAATTTTGGCTTCATGGAGGACGTGTCCAGCTTAGCGGAGGATTCAGTCGCCTGCATGAAATTGCAGTAGCAATGTCTTCATCAACTCAGTTTCTCTGTTGTGTTTATTTTCTTTCAGATATGAGGTTTTGTAATGGGTCCTTCTTTCTTTCTTTATTTATTTATGTTGTGGGCTTGTCACTGAGAGAGGGGAAACACACACTCTTCAATTTTATGTGCAATAGTATGGCCCTCTGATGAAGAAAAAAAAAGGTTGGATGCAATTAAAGCAAATCCGCAGTGAAGATTCTGATAAGTTCCAATCCACCTCACTTATTCTAGAAGGACCCTGAAGCAAAATATTCTGCAACTGGGTGGGGAGGGAAAGCTGAATTCTGTTAGAAGAGATCTATAAATAAAGGTAGAAGCTAGTAATAGAGGAGGAAAATATTGAGTGAGTAGAAGACTTTTAGGAGAGTTTTAGGCCTCTCGAATGGCTACTGTTCCTGTTCCATTTCTGTAATTTCTCAGTTTTCTTCAATCAATAGCAGCAACATATTTTCTGTTCACAAATTGCAGCTGGAACCTTAACAGATTCCAGTTGTTTTCATTGTTCACGTTTCCTTGTAAGTAGAATCATTAATGCTTTTGTTAATGGCATTTGGTGGAGGATATGTTGAATTGGCATTGGTGTGAATGGTTTAACATACTTGAGTGCTTTTCTTCTCATGGACTTCATGTTTAAGTGTTTTTATATTGACAGCTCATGTCTCTGTCTGAGAATAAGTGGTGGCTGTAAATGTCTATTTCATCCTCCCATGAAGAATGCTGAACTAGAGGAAAGGTGAACAATAAACTTTTCAGGAATCTGGGCGTGAAGACGAGGGACCATTCATGAAGCAGACAATTGAAATTTAAGAGATTGTTGTAGTTCTATATTTAAAATTTACAGGCATATAGCCCATAAAGCATTACCATTGCTTTTAGTTTTTCAATGTCTTACTTCTTAGTACCTTTAACTGTTGCCAACTTTAGATGTCTTGCGCTGGGGAGGTTCAATTTTTTATTGAAGAGATACTTCCATTTTACATAGTGGAATGTCAATTGTTGCTATTGTCTTTCTCCTGTATTTTCATTTCTGGTGACTCGTCTCTGGAAATGGAGAGAGCCTCGATCAATATGGGTTCCACTTGTGGAACTTAAAATATTATTTTTCCAAATTATGCAAGTGCAGGTACCGTTGGTAAGCAATGCAGGTTGGTCATTTTAGTCGAACGATGACCTGATAATATCAAAATTTTTCGAGCTAATGTCCTTAGTAACCAAGTGTTGCCCAATTCACGCTAGTGAGGCAACATATACACATATGTAACATGGATACCGATAGAAATTTTTCTACAATCTTCGTTCTTGATAACAAGGAAACACTATGGGCTGGATACCGTGCAGAATGCTGAATTCCAAATTACAAAATCAAACTTTATTCTAAAACAGGAAATTAAATATGTTATGTCACTAATTATCATTGAATCATCATTTCATTGATCTCCAGGATGGCTAAAACTGCCCCAGCCTTGACCACCAATCAGGAAGAGCACAGTTATTTGGTCCATTCGAAAAGATACGACTCCAGAATTGGATCATGATTTAGTTCACTTCCCATTCTTTTGCTTGGAATCTGATACCAATGCCCTGATGCTGAGCCGGGGTTTTGTGTTAACTAGGGCTCGGGGAAGAACAGATACAGATACCACTACAGAGTTGCCAGGGATCCCGGAAAGTGGCAATACCTCAAGAAGCACGGCAAACTGCAAAGGAATTATGAGTTCAGGACAATGGAAAGTACAAAGGGATTATTGATTCGCCAAACTCGTCTCTACCTCAGGGCATTTCAGTTCCACAATGGAATCTGGAACAGCATCTTTAACTGCTGCGGCCACAACGGTAAAGCACTTGTTGCGGTCTAACATAGATAATGCACCGGAAATTGAAGAATCTGTTTTTGTAGTTTGTATCATCTTTGTCTCCTCAATCCCTCTCCTGTTATACCCAACTGCAAACTACAATGTCATTAGTTCTATATAGGTCTATACCTACCACACAAAGTTGGGGCAGCATAGGGAAACTAAATATACGATGCTTTTGAATAATTTAAAACAAAAAAGAATGAATGATATTGAAAAATGGGTCTCTTCTTAATCAACTAGATGTTTCACTAGATGAATATTTTGCCAGAACTTATAGCGAGATCCTTTAAAATCCTAAGTGGAGTGACAAAAGAAATGAGACGGCGATAGAAGTAAAAATTTTACAAAACGACCTAACATTACTTCATGAATGCTATGAACTCAATAATCTCGACCCGAAGATTTCCATTTACAGTTATATTACCAGTTCTTATGAAGACCAATCACCCATTCTTCCTTTTCGTCATGCACATACCACCCTAAAATTAGTTCATGGATGCTATGAGCTTCATAATCTTGACGCGAAGATTTTAATTTAGAGTTATATTACCAGTTCTTATGAAGACCAATCACCCATTCTTCCTTTTCTTCATGCACATACCACCCTCCACACACACACACGTCACAAGCAATCTTGACGAAGTGTGAAAAATAAAGCATACCTTCAAAGGTTGTGCAAGTTCATTCTTTTTATCTGTTACAAACTGATTGACAAGCTTCAACACAGTACTACGAATTTCATTCTCATCTAAACTACAAGTGGCTTGTATTGGGAAGATACGATGACACCAACTGCATCAGATAATAAATGCTTTATTAAGATATGAATCGGAGCATAACGTAGTTATAGTTATTATCAAATCACATAAAAAATATCAAGTATTGCGCAAACTTCAAGGAAGACTCTTATATTCATCATAGACGAATGAGTTCCTGATATTACAAGATATATAGATCATGTAAATAAACAGAAGTACGTGTGCATTTTTATATGGCTGGTCTCAAGGGCTTTTATTTGAAAAACAAGAGATGCATATTACAACTAATTTACTATAAACACTCATTATATAGATATTAAACCCATTAACTTCAAGTCCAAGCCATTAACTAAGTCTATTAACAAGCATAACTAGCAAAAATAAATGAAGACAAACGGCAAAAACCATAGAAAAGTCCTTGATGCATTAAAGTGTAGAGTGTCTTGCCCAACAGAGTAATGGCATGCCCAATAACACAGCAGGTGTTTTTTTTTTTTTTTTTCTTTTTCACATAAGCATGTGCTCCACCGGGATAATAAGTTCCCAACAGAGTAACCAAAAATATTTTATCCTGATTGAGCATCGCTCTTTTTGTTTCTCATCGTCAAAAATCAATCACTATCCCCCACCCCCCAAACAAAAATGTAAGCTCATCGTTTTCTTCTTTTATATCTTTCATAAACCCAAATTTAGGAGAAAGAAATCATTAAATCAGCACTATCAGAACTTTCGGATTATGACACAACTATTTATTTTTTGGCAAGTTCTTGAAACCCAATTATGCAGCTTACATATGACATGAAAAGAAAATAAAAACATTAATAATGGGCAAATCTTAGAGTAGCTCGAAATAAATAACCTAGTACTTTGTCCCATTTAGGTAAAAAATAGTAAATGTTTATTAACAAGGATATTTTTGCTGGTAGTGTTAGATTTACTTGGGCATATTGAGCTTTAATTTTCAGCATTTATTATGTTATCTGGGAATGCTCTGTAAGTGATTGACTTGAAAAATAAAAATAAAACTCATTGGCCTATATTCTTTTGGACAACAATGTAATTTTTGTCTAAAAGTTTTACAATCCAATTTTGTCTTCAACAATCCATCCATTTGATTTAAGACAAACATCATTAGCTATTGGGCACTATGAGTCAGACCACCATGATTAAGTTTTAGGTTTCTAGTGCATTTATTGACAGACTATGATGATGAAGAAATATACTACAGAAAATTGTAGCAATCAACAAAATGTAAACAAAGGAAATGACAAGGAAAAAAAGAAAAAGAAATGACTTGCAATAGATGTAAGTATGCCAAGATACACAGCTATAATGTATCAGAGACATGTTCAAACAAAAGAATACTGCAAAGGTTAGGAAAAGAACGAACGACAAATGCAAAGAAAGAAATAAGCAACTTACAGTGGTGACTTTGAACTTCCAGATTCTAGAGACTGAATGATGTTGGCAACAATATCCACAACAGGAGGAGATATATTTCTACGAAATGTAAAGAGAAGTAAACCACTTCGTGTCAACTTGACCAGAGAAAGATCCTCAACTTTACCTACAGATATATCTGAGTCTACAGGGGAAGCAGAACTTTCTTGAAGTTTACCTGACATTGACATGTTCAAATGTCTTATTTCAAGAAAACAATAAAGAAAACGTTCCAATTACTGAAAGTATTTAGACGAGGACAGTAAATTCTAAATATACTGTCTACAGAACCATTACCAGAATCTCCACACCTATCATCATCATGTGTACTCTCCAAACTACTCAAGCTTTCCCCTTTTATGGCTCCCATAAATGTTTTTCTTCTCTTAGCAGCAGCATCTACATCTAACTTTTCCATACTCTCGGAGTAGCTATCATGGGATCCAAGATACTGCACATTTACTTGCGCCAATATTATATGCGATCATTTAACATGAAACATGAATGCAGTCTGCAGCATGAGATGACTGTTTGAACGAAATGGAAAACTGAAATGAAGCTTGTTATGAATCAATTACACTTTGATTTAATCTTTATAATGGAAGTCTCATAATCGATCCAGAAATAGAAAACTTATTGATATAAGGTTACATATTATCCTAATCCCTTCCAAATGTACAATTACCAACAGATATAGCCATTTTTGCCACTTCTTTTTTCTTGTGGGGGTGGATGGGTGAAAGGAAGAGCGGGGAAGCCACCAAAATTTTGAGTTACACCCACATGCACCCATATTGATCTTATTAATCGAGGAAAAAAAAAGTACAAGAGGGGAACAAGCCATTGTACCTACTACCTAGAAATTACAAGGATAATTAAAAGATGACAAATCAGATAAAAAGAAAAGAAAGTCAGGAATATATGATAGCTTGAGAAGTCGAAAACATTCTCTTCTCTGATATCCTAGCAAAACTTTGATTAATGTGCTCAGTCATACGCACCGTCAAACAGACCAGGCAATTCACTTCTCATAATCTAAAGCAATGAGGAGGCCATGAAGGCTGTAGAAGATGTCTAACAAAGTAATCATCTCTAAAACAATTCAATGTCTATACTATATAGAATCGCAAAATTTCAGTAATAACACTTAGTATGTATGTTATTGTTGTTTACTATGTTAATAAGTCAGCAGCTTATCCTCTTAAATAGAGTGCTCTAGCTCAATCTCTTTCTGATTACACAAAGGAAAAATCTAAACAGCACTTAGAATTGTAAGGTCAGATTCCAACTTTGTGATATAGAAGTATACTACAAACTAGAAATTTAATATGAACAAAATCAAACATAAATGACATCAAGAAGAATTTAATAAAAAAAACCTTTTCAAAGATAGACATGACTTCTTTTGTGGCACTTTTCTCCCTCTCTGAGACAACATGAAACTTTTCGTCAGACTGCAGTTGCAACTAGAATAACGAAAAAAAAATGTAATTTTAATATTTGACAAATGGAAAATTTCAATGTTCATGACACTATGGTCGAAAGGATCATATCATAATCCTTAAATACATGAAACTATATTTTATAAGAAAAGCATACCCTTTTCTTCAGTAAGAGATTTGAAATTCTAGACCTTGAAGGGTAGTGCATTTATATAGCTAAATCTTAACGCATCAATTAGTTCCCTGAAGTTTTTTCTACCTTCTTTTATGGAATTTCGTTTCTATTTTCCTCAATGTTAAGTTAACATAACTAAGAGGAGTTAAATTAATACAAGTTCATCGGAACCCACATCCATTTCTGTCCTTTCTATCAAATTTTGAACCCAGCAGATTAAACAAAAAGCAAAACAACAAAATACAAAAACGTATATAGGGATTGAAGACTTACTTATTGGGCAGGTAATGAGGAATCCAGAATGTGAATGTTGGAGAAGAGCAGACGGAGCATTGTAATCAAATCGAGGGATGTTTATCACAGCCGAATGCTGTTCCCATGGCTTCATCTCCTTCTTATCTGCGCCTTTCTCTTCTTTTACTTCGTGTTTTTCTTCCTCTTGTTTCCCTAGTGGTGGGGGCAGCGGTGGCTCCGGTCGGGTTTCGAATTTCTCATTTGCAGTAGATTTTTGTTCAGCCATTTCTCCTCTTTCTGCTGTTGACGTTGTCGTAAGTTTGTTAAACGGCCAAATTCCCAAATCCTTTTAACCCTACGCGAGGACATTGTCGTTTGGTTTCAATATATGTTCTCTCTTTAAAATAAGAAATAATTAAATCCATTCACCGCATTATAATTTTTTCCAAACAAGACCATGCTACACGAACATAGGGAATAATCGAACACACACTTCGGGAGTCGGACACTAATTTATTCACGCGAAACTCACACGCAATGTGAGGATCAATCACCCAAAATGTCGACCATTTTCGGATAAAGTGGCTTTGCTCTTGTATTTTTACTTTTAACAAAAAACTAAAATATTAGCATAATTTTAAAACAAATAAATATAGTTCACGTGACAGTCGACTCATCGATGAAAATCATCACCCTCTATGAATAGCATTATTCTCTTTTCCTTTTTTTTTTTCTAATAGTTGAAAACACTACTTCAATTTACTAAAGTATTATCAAATACTTAATTATTGAGGACACTTGGATTGAGTTTAAAAGAACAATAGTCGTTGGAAAATTTCGAAATTTGGATAATCTTTATTTAGTTGAAAATTTAAAATATTGTTTTTAGACCGGAAATGATTTTCACAGGTTGTTAGTCACAAATAAAATAAAGACGCTATCAAATATGTGCATTTTTTCTTTTATTTTTTATTTTTTTGACAATCTCGTATATACCACCTCGTATTTTAAAAATATTACTAACATCTCATACATAATTCTACTCACCAATTTCAATTATACATTAAATAGTAAATTTCACCATCAATTTCATTAAGATTAACAATGCGCATGTCTTCATTCTTTTATTTTCCAGTAGGAATACAAATTTCTCAGTCCAACTTGAATTGTCTCGCTCTAAATGGTAAATGGAACAGGGTTAAGGATGCCCCTCTCGAATTTTTCGAGCCTATATCAAACATTTTTATTTGCAATTCCTCAAATATATACTAAACCACACTTGTAGGTTCCAATTCGAGTTCCATTCTACCCATAATATTTAAAAAAAAAAAAAAAAAAAACAAACGTGAGCAGAGCATGGACACCAAATTTTATAGCCAAATAACAAATCAAAAACTACAAATAAAAAATAAGGAAATACTATAAATAATATAAATTCATTAAACTGAAAACAACATACTTATCTAAGCGTCACCAACCTAGTACTCGTAGTAAATAATATGAAACTTAAGGGCAATATTGTCACCCGATCCCAATATATACCACCGTCCGAGTGGAGTCGACAAGAATTGAAAGAGAGTTTCCGTTATCTATCTTGTCTATATATCTATTGCTTTCTCTCTACATATATCTCTAATCAAGTTAGGGTTTTACCGAGTTCATTTAAGCATGATTTCTGATTCGATCCCTAACGCTTCAATGCCTTTGGCTTCATCTAACACCAAAGATTATGCCAAGAAAAAAAGGGTAATTGTTTTGTTTTATTATTTTTTGACAAATTAATTCACTCCATGTACATAGATGGTTTTCTCTCAATTACACACTATGTGAATTTGAAGATTGTTATTTAAAAAATGAGAAAGTGGAATGCATTTGAGCGAATTTTGGCTTTATTTTTTATTTCAATTTGATTGAGTGAATTTTATTTCTTTCTAATTTCAGGTTTCTTTAATTATTTTTGACAGTTTAATGCGCACAATTTATCTGCATGTAATTTGGACTTTTCTTGTCATTGTATTGGAGCAAATTTCGGTTTTATTTCCTGATTAAATTTGGACTGAACGAATTTCATTCCTTTTTAAATTTCAAGTTTAATTTATTATTTCGACGGCAATTTGGTGAATCTTTTTGTTCATGTACGAGTATTTTTTTTAGTGTTTCTGATGGTTCTTGTTTTGATTATGGATAATTTTTTTTATAATTTCAGGTTAATCGGTCTGCAAAATTGAAGCAGTGCAAACTTGATGCTCGTCGCGACCAGTGGCTATCTCAAGGTTTCTTGCTGGTCTATGTTTGTTTTGTACATGCATGTATGGAATTGTATTAGTAACTTTGGAATATTTTTAGTGAAGAATAATGGCAGCCATAAGGAGGGCGTGAGTGGTGACGGAGGGACATGTGGTGTGCCATCAGTGCATTTGGACAATCAAAGGAGGCACCTACCGACTGAGAAGCTAGAAATAAAGCCGACAAGTGCGGAGGAGAATTATGGAGATGGATCGTCAATGCATCATTACAATGATTTGGAGTCATCCCCTGCAAACAGCCTCAGCAACTACACCAGTGTCTTGTGCATTGACAATTCAGGAGTCAATTTTACTGGGAGTGGTAGATGCAGCAGCCAAAGCAGCATTGGTAGTATTAATGGATGTTTTCCGGGTAGCATGAGTGAAGACAATGAGGGGGATGATTATGATAATGGGTGCTTGGATGATTGGGAGGCTGTGGCCGATGCCTTGGTCGCTACCAATGACAAGCAGAAAGAGCATATCCCTGAGACAGGATCAGATTCTCTGGTTCTGGAGAAACATGTAAATGCTGCCCAATCTGATTCTAGGTCAGAAATATCAAACCTGTCAGATTCAAGAGTTGAAATTACAAAGTCAAATCCAGAAAGTGAGGGAGCTGCAACACATAGTTCTCCGGTAAATTACCAGGCATGGCGCCCTGATGATGCTTTTCGTCCTCGTGGCCTGCCTAGTTTGTCAAAGCAGCATAGTTTCCCCTTAAATTCAGAGCGCCATTTTGGTCGAGGAGCTTCTGTTTGGGGATGTAAGATTGTTCGGCCAGTCCCCACATCTTGTCCAATATGCTGTGAGGACTTGGACTTCACAGACTCGACATTTATCCCATGTTCATGTGGGTTCCGGCTCTGCCTTTTCTGTCACAAGAGGATTCTTGAGGAGGATGGGCGCTGTCCAGGCTGTAGGAACCAGTATGATTGTGAACCTGTCGAGGGAGAGGCAACTTTAGATGGAGGCAGCTTGACGTTTCAATTGGCTCGTTCTTGTAGCATGATATCGAGGTCTTAGGAAGATTCTCTGTTTGCCTTGAACTTGTTTGTTGGGATTCTCTTTTTCTCAGTGCATCTTTGGGTGTTTTTACCATTAGATACTGATTTTCACTGCCTTAGATGTTGCTATAGAAATGTGATTCTGATGCACAGGGGAGTAAATCTAGTTTCTTATGAATTTGTTCCATATGTTTTTTATGGTGCTTATGTTGATGTAGAAGGCTAGTTATGTGAATAGACAAGGTGGTATAGAAATTGAATACACTAAATTTGGTTCATTGGAATTCAGCGTTTCTTGTTAAATTTCATTTGTGTAATTCGTGGTGGTGATGAAATATGAGCTCATAATGTGAAGAAAATCATTAAAATTATATCTAGAGATTTCTTTCTATCAAATTTCCCAGTGCTTGCCTCCCTCTTTTACCTTTTCTGGTGTGCATTTTCTTAGACTTGGTAGTAACACACACGAGTTTTGACAATTCAAGCTAAGATGAGATACTTCTGCATCTTGTTGGTATGGACTTGGGACCAAAAGCTTTATTAGGCAAACTGTGAAAAGTTGAGAGGTACAGCAATTTCCTTGGAGTTAATATCCAAAAATGCTGATTCATGATTCTGAGTTTTGTTTCTACAAGGGAAGGTGATAGTTGTCATATTTTATGTAGCTTTAAGTAACTTATCAGAACGAAGCGTAAAAAGATTAATTTGGATGCTCTATTACTTTGATTAGACTTTATGTCTTTCTTGAGTTTTTAATTATTCCACTTTTGGCGCTGCCTGATTTGCTGTCTCGCTATAGTTACTTGACTTTGGACATTGGCTGACTTGGAATGTTAGGTATTAACTGTCTCCCGGTGGATATGTGAAAACATCATTCAGTTTGTGGAGTAATGCTATACTTCGTTAGATATCAACCATTGTTGTGTGCGTGGGAAATCTGGAAACAGAAAGATTGTGAAAGAAACCATTGTCTATGCATAAGATGCCAAGAACAAGAAGCTAGCTGAGGATATGTATTCAAGATCTTCACAGTATTCATCTTTTTTGTCTTTATCCCTCATTATTGTATCGTTTCTTAATTTAAATTTCACTTTTGTACTAAGGAAATATTTAATATGAAAAATTCATCTTCTCCTCCCAAAATATTTCGACATCCAATCAAAAAATGCTTAAAAGAATTATTTGAGAATGTTTGTCGGAAGTTATAAGTAGGTCATACTTGAAAGTTTTTTCAAAATAAAAATGTAGCAGGTTGCTGTCTAATTTGTTGAAAAAAATTTCAACTTGTTATGCCTGTAAACTGTAAATATAGCTGATTGCTTGAATTTTGTTGATTCAACTGTTGTTCGATTCTCAGATATAATGTTCCTTGATACAGGTCCATGTGGAGTGTTGTTTAGTTATTCAGAAACTGCCACATCATTTGAAATTTGTCGAACATAGATTGGGATAGATCTCTCGCCACCTTTTAACTCGACTGTTTTTGGTCTTTATAAATATTTTGCACTGTGTGCGCTAAATAGAGAAGCGCATACATGCTATTCTCACATTGCTCTGTTGCACTGGAGTTATGGTGGAAGCTATATGGGGTTGTAGTGGCAACTTGTCTACTTGCATCTTTCAGCGATCGTTCCTCATGAAAAATTGGGGGTTTTGGTTGTCGCAAGGAAAATTCTAATAGAGATGGATAATAATTACAATTCCTTGCTGCATATGGATTGACAAAAAGGCTAGAATGTTTAGGATCATTGTATTTCTTGCTGACTGGTGCTTTTATATTTTAGTCTTCAAGTTCTTCTAAGTTGGATGGCCATTTAGGATTTTGCATTCTGGTCTTTTCTTGTGAAGAGGATTTATTAACCAACAATAATGTACTTATAACCAGAAAAGTGAAATTTTTTGGTAATAAGGAGTTTAAAACTAGCCAGTTTAAAAGATCGGTA